AGTCAAGCTGGTGCCTACATAGAGCCTTCACCTCTCTTTGGTACAGGCACATACTCTGCATGCTTTCAAAAGAGAAACATAAAAACCAAGAAGTCACAAACCCTTTATCTACAATGGTGTACTGCCTGCAAGATATGCTAGGGCAATGGTAGCACAGAGCTTGTGAGAGTAACCAACCAATATCTGATCTGACATAAGGCCCACTCCACGAGATGGAATCCATACCCAACACAGCTTGTGTGACCAAGAACCTCAGACTAGATAGCCCAGGGACCTGAGGCAAAACCAAATACTATAGTTCTACTAAATGAAAGTAACAATAAATGATTCCTAATGATATTCTGCTATACTCAGACCAATGCCTTGTTCAGCCATCATCAGAGAAGCTTCCTCCTGCAGCAGATGGGAACAAATACAAGAACCACAGGCAGATATTATGCAGAGAGTGGGAGTCCTTGGAACGCTCAGCTCTAAATGGGATGTCTCCATCAAATCCCTCCCCTCAGGGCTCAGTGAACCTTGCAGAAGGGGAGACAGAAAGACTGTAAGAGCTAGAGGGAATGGAGGACACCAAGAAAATGAGGCCCTCTAAATCAACATGAGCAAAGCTCATGTGAACTCAGAGACTGAGGTAGACTGCACAGGGCTTGCATGAGTCCACACCAGGTCCTTAGCATACATATTGTGGCCTCCAGTTTAGTGTTTTAATGGGACTCCTGAGTGTGCAAACAAGTGTGTCCCTGAATCTTGTACCTTCTCCAGGACTCTTTTCCTTCTGTTTTTCTATTTTGTCCAATTCCGATGCATTAGTTTTCCTTTCATTTTATCTTATTTTATTTTATTATTATCCCTTAGAAGCCTGGGTTTTTTTTTCTGGTGAGAGACAAAAAGGGAGTGAATCCAGATGGGAGCAGAGGTGGGGAGGAACTGGGAGAAGTAGAGGGAGGGGAAACCTTAATCAGGTTATATTATGTGAGAAAAAAATCTATTTTCAATAAAGGGGGAAAAAAGATTATCCACCACCATCAAGTTGGCTTCATCCCAAAGATGCAAAGATAATTCAACATGCATAAATCAATAAACATAACTTACTACATAAACAGACCTAAAAGACAAAAACCACGTGATCTTCTTATTGGATGGAGAAAAGATCTTTGACAACATCCAACATCCCTTCATGATAAAAGCCTTAGAGAGACTTGAGGATACAAGAGACATACCTTAACATAATAAAGGGAGTTTACAGCAAGCCCATAGCCAACAGCATCCTAAATGAAGAACTCAAGGCAATTCTGATAAAATCATAAACAAAACAAAGATGTCCACTCTCTCTATACCTGTTGGATATACTCCTTGAAGTCTTAGCTAGAGCAATTGGACAGCTGAAAGAAATCAAGAGATACAAATTGGAAAGGAAGAAGTCAAAGTATTATTATTTGCAGAAGATATGATTTTACACATAAAGGACCCAAAAGACTCTACCAGGGAACTTCTACAACTGATGAACGCTTTCAGAAAAGTAGCAGGGTACAAAATTAACACATAAAAATCAGTAGTCTTCTTATATAAAAATTAAACACAAAATGAAAAAGAAATCAGAAAAATGGTGCTTTTCACAAGAGTGTCAAAAATAATGTAACTTGAGATAACTCTAATCAAGCAATGAAAGACTTATATAATAAAAATTTTAAGACACTGAAGAAAGAAACTGAAGAAGACACATGAAGATGGAAGATCTCCTATGCTCATGGACCAATAGGATTAATATTGTAAAGATGGCCATCCTACCAAAAGCAATCTATAGATTCAATGCCATCCTCATCAATATTTCAACACATTTCTTCACATAAATTTTAAAAAATCTTCAAATTCTTACAGAAACACAGCAAAAATAGGATAAATAAAATTATCCTGAATAATAAAAGAACTGCTGGAGTTATCACCATCCCAGATTTCAAACTATAGAACTATAGTAATAAAAACAGCATTATAATGTGATAATAAAAAAAACAGGCACATTGATCAGTGGAGTAGAATTGAAGACTCAGACATAATTTCACACACCTATAGACACCTGATTTTTACAAAGAAGTGAAAAATACACACTGGGAAAAAGACAGCATCTTCAACAAATGGCACTGGTCCAACTGGACAGCTGCATATAGAAAAATGCAAATAAATCCATACTTATCACTGCACAAAACTCAACTCCAAGTGGGTCAAGGACCTCAACATAAGACCAGATACTCTGAAAGTGATAGAAAAGAGAGCAGCGAATAAGCTTGAACTCAATGGCATGGGAAAGGAATTTCTGAACAGGACATTGATAGTACAGGCATTAAGCCCAACAATTAACAAATGGAGCCTAATGAAGCTAAAAAAGCTTCTGTGCAGCAAAGGACACTATCATTCCACCAATGTGGCAGCCTACAGAATGGGAAAAGAGCTTTACCAATTATACATCTGGTATAAGGTTAATATCTAGAGTAAACAAAGGAGGAAAAAAGCCCTGAACATCAAGAAAACAAATAGCCCAATTTAAAAATGGGATGTAGAATTAAACACGGAGTTCTCCAAAGATGAGACTCAAATGGCTGAGAAACACTTAAAGAAATGTTCAACATCCTTTGCCATCAGGGAAATGCAAATTAAAATGGCTTTGAGATTTTATCTTACCCCAGTCAGAATGGCCAAGATCGATAAAACAAATGGCAGCACACGCTAGTTTGAATGCAGGGGAAAGGAAGCATTTACCCATTATTGGTGAGAGTGCAAACTAGTATGGCCACTATGGAAATGAGTGTGGAGGTTTCTCAAAAAGCTGAAAATCAATCTACCACAAGCGCAGCTCTAACACTCTTGGGCACATACCCAAAGGACTCTACATCCTACTACAGAGATAATTGCTCATGCATGTTCATTGCCGCACTATTCATAATAGCCAGAAATTGGAAACAACCTAGATGCCCATCAACTGATGAATGGATAATAAAATGTGGTACATTTACACAACAGAATATTATTCATTTGTTAAGAAAAATGAAATTATGAAATTTGAAGGTTAATGGATGGAGCTAGGAAAAAATCATTCTGACTAAGGCACTCCAGACCGGGGGAAAAAAAAACAAAACCAATATTGCAACTTTTCTCTTGCAAGATGATGCTAGCTTTTAGGTTTTCTATATGTGTGTCTCCATCCAAATAACCACAGAGGTTAGGTACCTAGTAAGTGACCATGGGGAGGGGAGGTCTTTCAAGAAAAATGAAATAGAGTAATATAGTGTTATAAAAGAGACAAAGGATTAAATGGAGAGGAGAATGGAGCACAGGGTAAAGGAAGGAATATGGGGATTGACAACTAACACTAATGGCTACTTGAAAAACCATATGGAAGCCTACTCCTGACGAAGCTTCCTAAAATATATACAAATGTGGAAAGAATTTAAATGGAGTCACCTTGGAGAGAATACCCCAACTAGACGTCTTATGCCACCAAGTAAAACCTCCAGTGTCAGGAATTGGTTACATCTTGTTGAGTGATTGGCCAAATGAGTCTCATAGACCCTCCCAACTACAATAGGCTGTTGTCAAGATTATTGGTTACTCTCCATAATCTGATGAGAAGTCCTTATTGCTGAAGACAACACTTATTTATGTCATCTAACATGGAGAAATCAAGTTGGTGCCTAACAAGAAGCTTCACCCCTACTTATTGGCATTCACAGTGCTGCAAGGTACTTTGCATGCTACTGGAGGAGAAAAATATTCACCAATTTCACCCAGCTAAAAACCCTCTGACCTAAAACAGAGACGTGCCTCCAAGATACACTGGTGCAAGAGTGGCATAAAAGTTATAGGAGTAATCAACCACTTTTTTTAATTGAATTTAAGTCCCATTCCATGTGATGGAACCTAAATCTGACACTGCTAAAGTGGTCAATGAACTGAGACTAGCTAGGTCATGGGCCTAGGGAAACCTACTGCTATCATTCTGCTAAATGAACATAGCAATCAAATGACTCTTAACGACATGTTGCTATAGTCATAGGGCACAGGATCACTCAGTCCTCATCAGAAAAGCTTCTTCATGCCATAGATAGTAATTAACAAAGAGATCTACTGTGGGACAATGTACAGAGAGAGGCTTTGGAGCACTTAGCCCTAAAAGGGATGTCTTTATTAAACCCCTCCTCTTAAGGATCAGTGATCTACGGGAAAGAAAAGGAGGAAAGATTACAAGAGTTAGGGATGGTAGATGACTCCTAAGAAGCAGCCACAACAGAATTGACCCACATATTAACTCACAGAGACTGTGACAGCATGCACAAGACCTACACAAGTTCAAACCAGACAAAATTTCAGCACTGAGAAGGGGAAGTGGATACAAAATCCCACCCCTAACCAAGAAACAATTTGTAGTCAATACCTGTTGGGAAGGGGAAAATCAGCTTTCTTCAATGGAGTGTTACTGGGAATATCAACCACACTCCAGGGCAGGCCCCAGGCTCAGGAATAGTTGGCCAATACAAAATGGACTCCATGGTTTTTTGTGCATATTTTGTTTTGGATTTTGTACTGATTTGGTTTGGATTTTCTCTTGTTGATTTTCTTCTTTGTCTGTTTTGATTTTTTGTTTTTTGCTTTTCCTGGGTTGTTTTTTTTTTTTGAGAGAGAGAGCACATGAAGTTGTGTGGTTAAGGATGTGGGGACAATATGGGAGAAGCTGGGGGATGGGAGATAATATGATCAAAATATTGTATGAAAATAATTTTTAAACAAAAATTTTAAAAATAAACACATACACAAACTAAAAAAGAGAAAAATGCTGTGATAAGAACTGATTCAGAGTTGTTAGCCAGTGAGGTCCCATAGACCACCCCCCAAAACAATACAGGCCATTGCCATTGCTCTTGGTTACACCCCAGAACTTGACAGTAAGATCCTGTTGCTAAAGATACCACATACTTGAGTCATTGAACATAAAGTAAGATGTTACTAACCTGAAAGCTTCATCCCTGTTAGCTAGTTTTCATGATGATTGAAGAGCCTATGCGTACTACCAGAGTAGGAAAGTAATTCTCGATCACACTCAGCTGTGAATCCTGTCAGCTACAATAATAACTGGCCTGAAAAGACATGCCCGTTAGTGCAATAATGACATCAACATCATGGGAGTAACCAACCAATTTCTGATTGGATATAAGTCCCATTCCACAAGATGAAACCCATACATAGCACCATTATCAGGCCAACAACCTGTGACTAGACAGGTCATAGGCCCTAAGGGAGAACCTCTTACTATTAGCTTCTAGAAGAGGGGGAAACAGTTTTCTCTAAGTGTATTACCCCTAGTTAGTCAACTACACTCTAGTTGACTACACACTCCAAGAATAATTCATTGGGAAGCACAGATTGGTCTTGAGGAGTGTTTTTTAAAAGGGTACAAAGTTGGGTGGATAGGGAAGAGGTGGTGGATCCCGGAAAAATTGAGGCAGGGTGAATATAATCAAAACATGTTGTATGAAACTCACAAAGAACTAATAAAAAAAATTAAGCCCATGGTTGGAACAGTGTTGGATCCAATGGTAGAATCTTCTATTATTATTTTGCCAATCACCATGCTGTCAATTTGTGTTCTAAATATTTTTATTTATCTATAAATACCTATAGAACTATAGTGCTCTCACTTTGGTGAGAGAAGCTTCCTTTTGCAGTGGACTACAGTCAGTGCAGAGATGCCTAACTGGTCTGAGTGCTGAGAAGAAAAGACTTGAGTGAGTGTTCAGCCCTAAATGGGACATCTTTATCACACACACATATACCCCTCCAGTCAAGGAATGTGTGCATGAGTGTGTGTGTATGCGTGTGTGTTTGTGTGTGTGTCTGTGTGTGTTGTGTGCGCTACTTTTCTATTTTTATGATAAAATACCATGACCAAAGGCGACTTAAGGAAGAAAAAATTTATTTTTGGCTTATGGGTCCAGAAGGACAAGAGTCCATAATGGTGAGGTAGAGGTATGGCAGCAAGTAGCAGACATGGTGGCAGAAACAGGAAGCTGAGAGCTCACATCTTGAATAATAAGCATGAAACAGAGATAATGACCTAGAAATGGCACGACACTTTTAATCACAAAGCCCACCTCCAGTGGCATACTTCCTCCAGCAAGTTTGCACCACCTCCGTCTCTGCAAACAGTGCCACCAACCGGGGGAACAAATGTTCAAATAACTGAGTCTATTTGGAACACTTCTCACTTAGACTACTATAGCATGAAGTTAGGAGGAGGAGGTATTAGGTGGTATGCTGGGAGAGTAGGAGAGAAAAGGGGGAGAGGGGTAGATACTATATTTCATTGTATTCATGTGTGAAATTCTCAAAGAACTTTTAATAATGACTTTAATAATGTCTTCTTCATCTTTTCAACTCATTACTGGGAGCATTTAGAGGGGAGGAAGGCCTAGTTTTTGTATTAATCCTGTCTCATAACCCTGATAATTTTTCTAATTCTAATCATTTTAAATACATTTTAATATTCTATTCAGTCATACTTGTAAATATTTGCATGCTTACTTTTCTCATGTCTTTTCTCTCTTTCTTTATCAGAGCTTTATCTTTGTGTAACTGAAATACAAATAAAATAGTGTTTAATGTAAATAATTTCTTCTTTATCTTAAACTTTTCTTTATTTTTGAGACTTCCATATACATGTGCAATAGAATATGATCATATTTAGAAAGCAATTTGATAGCATGACCATTTAGCAAAATAACAATAGCAGGATCTACCTTAGGGTCTATGACCTTCCCAGCCAGGGGATTTTGACCAGATTTACAGTACCTGGAATGAAAATCCCTGCTATGAAGAAGGCCTCAAGTCCAATCAGAAAGTGCTTAGTTACTCCGTAAAAGTTGTACCGCTATTGCACCAATGGGTACTTCTTGCCTGGCAGATCATAAATTGTAGCATGCAAGGTCCAGCACTTGGTAAGACCATTGATAGTGGTTTTTCCTCAGCTACCAGGCGAGTGAGCACCTTCTGGCAGTATGAAAACCAGCCAGAAAGGAGGAAGACGTTTCCTGTTCAGTGTGAGACTGATTTCTCTATTCCCTGCAACAAAAGTGTGTGGTAGAACCTTACTGGATAGTTCCAGTGGAGAGCCAAGGACAAGAGCGATAGCCCGTGTTATTTGTGAGCTTCCTTGACCAAAATCTCATAGGGAGGTATCCCATGCCCTGTACTGCAATTTTTATCTTGAGCCTTTTTTATATTGTTCTCGCACTGGCCAAGACTTTCAGTACAATTTGAAGAAAACTGATTGTAGTGGGCAGCCTAGTCGTGTTCCCAATCTCAGGAAGTGGTCTCCTTTGCTTTCCTGCTGCTGTAATATACTCTGGCCAAAAACAGCTTGAGGAGGGAGAGGTTTATTTTGTCTTCCACTTCCAGGGCCATCACTGAGGGAGGTCAGGATAGGAACATAGAAGCAGGAGGTAAAGCAGAGACCAACCACTTACTAGCCTGCTTTCCCTGGCTTGCTCCCCTTGCTTTCTAATAGAAATCAGGACTACCTGCCCACGGGTGACACTTCCCACAACGGTCTGAGCCCTCCCAGATCAATCCCTAATCAAGAAAATGCCCCACAGACATGCCCACAGGCCAGTGTGCTAGAGGCAATTCCTTAATTGAAGTTCTCTCTTTCCAGGTGACTAGTTTGTATCTTGACAAAAGCTAACCAGCACAAGAAGCATTCAGTATTTCCCCATTAGGTGTGCAGTCTGAAACCATGGTATTTTAATAACCTTCTTTTAATTCTTAGGAAACTGAAGTTTGCTATGAGTTCTTTTTTTTTTTGGGGGGGGGGGGGGTTTGGTTTTTTCAAGACAGGGTTTCTCTGTGTAGTTTTGGTGCCTGTCCTGGATCTCTCTCTGTAGACCAGGCTGGCCTCGAATTCACAGAGATCCATCTGGCTCTGCCTCCCAAGTGCTGGGATTAAAGGTGTGCGCCACCACCTGCCTGGCTGCTATGAGTTCTTTTTGCTTGTTGGTTATGGTACTTTTCCTTTGCGCCTGTTAGAGAATCATAATTGTTCTCCAATCACCTGAAGAATTCGCATAAAATTAGAAAGTTAGCAGGGGAGCAGTTCTCTGACTATTTTGTGGAACTTACTATTGAACAGTCTCTGGGCCTGGAGAGTGCGCACGTGTGTACATGCACAGAGAGGCCAGAGCAGAACTTCAGATGGTTCCCTCTATTGCTCTCCACATAAACGCCTTGAGAAAGGGTCTCTCACTGAACTGGAAGCTCGCCAGCAAGTTCTATGGATTACCTTGCCTCTGGCTGCCAATGGTAGGGTTACAGGCAGGCACAGTCATACCACACTTTTCCATGATTGCTACGGATTTGAACTCAGGTCTTCATGCTTACAGAGCAAGTGTTCTTATCCACTGAGGTCATCTCCCTAGCCTCGTGAAGATTTCTCTGTATAAACCTTTTAAAATTACAAATTCAGCTTACTTAATAGTTATGATTGCTCAGATATTCTCTATTTTCTGTGACTTTGAATAAATTTTATCTGCCAAGAATTTTTCCGCTGCATCAAAAATTTCAAATTTGCAAGGATAAAATTCTAATTCCAATAGCCTCTCTTTATAATTTAATGTTATATAGTGTAGTGCTCCTTTTGTTCCGGATACTTTCTTACTTTCTGAATTATGATGTCTCAAGGATTCTTCAAAGAACCATTAACTCTGCTGATCTCTGCTGTGGCTCTATTCTCTATTCCATTATCAAGTCTACCATTTCCCTCCTTTAAGGCTAATTTGTTATCTTTTTCTAACTTAAGACAGAAATCCAGCTCTTCCTTTTTAAAATAGATTAATTTAAAGCTACAAAAGTCTCCCTCCACGCAGCCCTAGAGGCATTTCACAAGATTTCAGGTGAAGATTTTCATTCTAGGTCAGTCCAAAATATTTTCTAATTTCCACTGTGAATTTATGTTCAGTGCATAGGATTTTATCCCTTTCCAAAGTATGGTACCCAAATTTTAGAGATATAAAAATAACCACCTAAAGGTTTTCTAAAAATGTTTCACACCTCTCCCACCTACCAGATTTATATTTCCAGGGAGTAGGCCTTAGGACCTACATTTCACAAGTCCCAGAGGGATCCAGCTGCAGGTGCATGACTTCCAAGCCCACAGGTTGGTAGCAGATCATGGGGCTTCATAAGTGCAGGCAGCAAGTCTGATCCACCCAAGTCATCTGAGGCCAGCACTGGACCGACATAAAGCTGTGTTTAACCAATGAACCAACAAATGAGGGAAGAAAACAAATAAAATACAATTTTTATATCAAGAGAATTAGAATTGTTGAATGCTATAAGTTAGAGGAACCACTACAGCATCATTTGGTCCCAATTTAAACCGATTCAAAACAGAAATGCACTCCCTGGTCTTCACATTTCTGTTTACCAGGCATTCTTCTCATCTTTTGCTTATTGCTGTCCCGGAACACAACCTTAAGTATGGATCCTGCCTGCCTCCTGGCCCAGAAAAGGTAGAAGTAGCACTGGAGATATCCTGACAGGGACTGTTCTGAGCTTGGTGTCTTGAACTCCTCCTCCACCTCCCTCCAAACCAGCTCCCAGACCCTGCCCATAAAACTCCATTCTAAATAAGGTTATCTGCCCCGTCTTCCCAGCCTTCCCATGCCAAGCCTGAGGTATTTCCACCAAATCTTTGTCCAAAACCAGACCCCAGACCTTTACAAGTCCTGCCCTCTCTACACGAGTAGCCTAAGCTACTCGGCTACTTCTCCTCACCTCCACGCAGGCTTCTCTCAAGTCAGAAAGGCCTGAGCCTGACTTTGTCAGCCAGCTATTGTCCTGGCAAGAACAGCCACCACACCAAGCATCCCCATTCAGTCAGCCAGCCAGCCAAGTTCTCCCGGTCTCGCCAGCCCCCTCCCCCAACCCCAGCCGCCCCGCCCCAGGGAGGACCTTGCTGGTGGCTGGGAGTCTCCCGGCTGCTCAGCCTCCCTTCTTCCCTCCCTTGCTCTCCCTGCTTCCCTCCCTCCTCCACCCGCCCCTCGGGCAGGGACTGTGCAAATCGAGGAGAGGGGAGGACCAACAGGCTACACAGGGTCCAGCTAAGGGGCCACGACTCCTCACTGAGACCCTATCCAAGCTAGGTGTTCCCGGCATCGTGGAACCTGGATTTGTGTGAAGCGGGGTGATTCCCGGGCCAGGAAGGTCCTTCCGGCAGGTCCACCATACCTTCGTCTCGCATCAGGACCCCTCTTGGATGCTCTGAGCCACCCTTCTCAACCCGGATCTAAAACCTGGGACACGGCTATCAGGCCAGCCTCTCTCTCCCTCCACCCCTCCCCCTCTTTCTGGCGTCCATCCCCTCCCCAACACCACCTCTGCTGCTGCCTCTGGCTGTGGACCTGCACCTCTTCTCCATCCTCGCCAGGCCCGGAGAGTGGGGTTAGCCTGGATGAGAGTGTGCCCCTAACCTGGGGCCCTCCCAGGCCATGGCTCGTGTGCTCCCAGGGAGGAGTCCAGGACCCTGAGCATCTGCTAGAAGCTTGGCAGAGGCCCCGCTGGGACCGTGTCTTCTGAGGACAAAAGGCTGCGGCCAGCAGGCAGACTGGGTGGGGGGTGGGGGGGGACCGGCAGCCAGGCAGGCAGACCAGTAGGGAAGCCAGCGCTGGCCCCCTCCCAGACTGGCGGTAGCATGAAGATGGGGGTGGGAGTGTGTAGCGGGAGAAGCACCTGCCAGGACCCCCACCTGCCCGCTACTTGGGCACCCCAAAGCTGTGTGCTGCCCACCTGGTGTTCCCCAACATCTCCAGCTCTACCAAGTGCACCCCTCTGGCACCTGCTTCCCCTGCTGCCAGCGATTTAGACCAACCAGGCTGTATCCACGGCAACAGAAGCAGGAGTGTCACTGGCTGCCAGATCACTGAGGGTCCCACAATGTGGCCTGGACTGTGGTGTATCCTGGCTGAGATCGAGTGAGCCCCCTTCCTGAATTCCAAGACAGTCCTGCTAAGAGAACCCAGGTAAGTAGTCAGCATCTTTCCATGAAGGAGCCAGGGGAGGAGGGGAACTGGGACTACTCTTCTGTCTCCCCACATATTTCAGTCTCTATCACTGTCATGCTTCCTGTCTGTTAGTCTCTCTGCTTCATCACTGACTATGACAACACTCAAGCCCCAGGACTGTCTGCCTCTCTTTCCCCATCTTCCTTAATCCCGAATGTCCCATAAGAAAGGGAACCACCACCTGTTTCCCCACTCCCAACCCCTCCCAGGGTCTGTTTCTATCATTATGGTCACAATTCGACACAAGACCATTCCCTGTGTGCTAGCTGTGGAAAGGGTACCTGGGGGCCCAGTGAGCCTTGTTCTCACAATGCCTGCAGCTTCCTTTCCTCCCTCCTTCACCCTTCTCCAGGTTCCTGGGCTTGCAGAAATATTTGTGAGCTCTCTCTCTCTCTCTCTCTCTCTCTCTCTCTCTCTCTCTCTCTCTCTCTCTCTCTCGTGTGTGTGTGTGTGTGTGTGTGTGTGTAAGAGAGATAGAGACAGAACCTGGGCAGCAAGCAGGTGGGTAGATATGATGAGAAAGCTGCTCCTAGTGCAGGCCACCCCTCATTCCTTCCTTTATTCTTTTCCCAGTCTCTACCCACAGGTAACATACTTTTGCTCACTCACCCTGGAAGATGTGTCCCAGCTAGTGGGAGGAAGCGGCTATAGGAATAGAGGAAGGTAAGGTGGGGGTAGGGAGCACATTCAGGCCGTGGGCTCTGAGAGAGCTTGAACATGTCCCCATGACAATAGACAGGGGACAGGAACAACATAGTGGTCCCCACAATGTGGGTCCTGGCTTCTATCACATGGCTCTCTGTTTCTGTTTCAGATACCCATATTGTGTTTGGGACCTCCAGATCAATGACACAGTAGCCCGAGGTCCCTGTATCTGGAGGTGCAGGAAAACCTGGTATATGGAGAACATGGATTCTACTAGGGACACGGCTCCTAACTACTAGCTCACAACTTTAGTGGAGGCATGTCACTTGTTGAACCTTGGTTTTCCCATTTGTCAAGGAGACTGGTAACCCTTTCTTTGTGGATGTGTGCAGGGATTAAATAAATTGATGGCATGCAAATAATTAAATGTGTGCATAGGGTGGCACTGAGCAGTGTCAGCAAAGCTCAGGATCAGTCTTATTGCTGGTTGTTCATGATTTGTATTGCTATTGATTAGAAGAAGGATTAGCACCTTTTCTCCAGGGTCTCAGCAGAGATCTAGAGAAGGCAGCAGGTGGGAAGATGGAGGGTCGCAAGTGGGGGGAAGTAGAACAGCTTTATGCTGTTTCTTCTCATTTGTAAGGAATGATGGGTAGCTGTGGGCAGTCATCCCTATCCTACTTGGGGTTCTTTCCCTGCACTCGCTCCTCTTTGCACACACACACACACACACACACACACACACACACACACACACACACCAGACTGTGAGCCAGCAGAGGCCTGGCTTACAGCCTGCAGCATTTCTGGCCCTGGTATGTGTCCCTCTGTTGAGGGGAAATTAGCAAGAGTTTGGCTTATGGTCAGTGGTTGGCAGGGACTGGAGACAAGGCTGAAGCTTTTGCGATTATAGGGCTTTGAGTAGAGCTGGGGTGTGGTCCATGCAGTAGCCAGACCTGTAGCAGAGTTTGCCCACCTAGACCCTGGGCTGGGGAGAGTGGGGTTTCCTAGCTGGTTTCTAGATATGGAGATGTGGTAGAATACCAAGGGGAGGGGGGCCAGCAGAAGAGCCAAAAGAGGGGAGAGATTGAAGACAGGTTTCCTCTGAGGGACAGGGAGGGCTAGGACCTTTAGACATGAGTAGACTTTCCTGAAGAAGCATTTGGTGTGGAAGGGAGAGGACCTAGCCTGTTGCCCAAGGGTGTCTGGACCTGAAACTAAGCATATACATGAAAACAAGTGACTGCATGTATAGTCTGTGTGTACTTGTCTCCTCTCTGCACTGTAGGTGTATATGAGTTTAAATGTGTGTGTGAACAGGCTCTGTGATGTCTGGATAGGTTTGTGTCTGTACTGGAGGGTATGGTTTTGCATATCTGGTGAGCAAATGGTCATGCTTGATTCTGACCCAAGTATTTGTGTGTTTCTCTGAGCCTATATTAGGCCTGTTGAATGTTTGTTTAGATTTGTGTGTGGTACCAATTTGTCTTTGAACACACATGTCTGGTCATATTTTTATGAGTGTCTGAGTCTAAAGTCCATTTAAATGAATGCCTAGTTGGATCTGATTGTGTATATTCTTGTTTTCCCACATGTGCCTTTCGGTGTGGGTTTATCTAAATAATGTGTGTGAGCATAAAGACATATACATGTGTCCCATGCATGTAGGAAAGGATGTGTGTGAACATGATTATATGTGTTGTGGGTGTGTCTCTCATATATTTGTGTGAATAGGCCTATGTGTGAAAGTCTGTATAGATTCTTCAGCATTTTTCATTGTCTATGTCTGCACGTGCATGTTTAAGTGCCTACTGTCTCTCAACAAACCTATGTGTTCATATCTATTTAAAGAAATATAAGTATAAATAGGCCCACTGGGATAAGGGAAGAGTAGGTGAGTGAAAAATATTTTATGTGTGCACATTGGACTACATTTTTTAATGACTGTGGGATTTACAGTACTCAACAAGGCTGTGTGCATAGGTGAATGGGTACATTAGTATGATGTCTAATTTGGTGTAATTGCATATCTGATTATAGTATGCATGAGTAACCACATTTCATAATACTTGGGTGCATGTGTCTCACTATGTGTTTTATTTGAATTTTTGAGTGTGTATTTGAATATGCCTTGAGTGACTGTGCATATATATGCTACTATTTGTTAATACCTGACTGTGCATATATTCAAGTAAACATAGGTATGTGTAGTCAAACAAAATTGAGTGTATGTCTTTGAATAGGCCTGTGTGTATGCCTGTCTGAATATACAAATGTGTGAAGTACCAGTTTGCACAGTTCTTATTTGTGTTTTTCTGTTTGTATTTATCTTCATTTGGTCTAAAGCATATATTATAGAATGATGTATATAAATATGTGCATACCACTCTTAGTTCACAAGTACATTTGTGTGTATGTGTGTCTATGCATCTATTTAAGATTCTTTTGCATGTATGTATGTGATAAGTTGATCAAATCTTCTTATGCAGATCGACAAGTGCACTGCAAGAATATATGAGTGTACTTCTATATGTGCATGTGCTGGAATATGCCTTTGTGTTCTATTCCATTGTACATATAAGTTTCTCTTCTTTCATTTATGTAGCTTCTCAGAATGGGTGTATGGATGTAATGGTGTATATATACACCTGACTGTGATAGTGTGCTTTTGTGAGTATCTGTGTTTCTATAGTTAATTTTATATATTTATATATATATATATGAATGAATGTATGTATATACAAGTCTATAAACATGTAAATATGCTGTGTGGGTACATGACCAGCTGTACATACAAGTCTATGTGTTAGAATATCTGCATATGTATATATCATCTCATTTATAAGCATCCACATATCTGGGTATGGATATGTGTGAACACACCTATACAGATATGGCTGTACGTATGTATGTATGTATGTATGCACGCATGCATGCAAATATACCTCTGTGGTTATATTTGAGTATATATGTATACACGTTTGGGAGTTCCCTCTTCTGTGCCCCTTTTTCTTTATCATCTCTTTAGATATGATATATATTTTTTACATATCTCTGTAGATATGTAAAAGTATGCCTGTGTACACACTTGTGTTTGTAAATGAATGCATGTCATTCATGAGTAAATCATGTGACTATAGTCTATTTAAAAGAGTAAATGGATGTACTTGTGACTAAGTCCAATAGAAATGTGCCTGTGTGTGGATAAATAAAGGTATCTGTGCATCTGCCTGTCTGATATGAGATTTGGCCTTGGTCTTATGCAGACTGACCTCTACACAAACCTTCTAACCAAATACACCCATGCTTTCATCTTGTTCACACCATATGGATTCACTCACATTCTGTGCAGTATTCTCCACATGCTCACTAATGACCACTGGGGGCATAGATAAAACTTTGATATCCCACCACTGCCAAAAGCATAGGGCAGGATGGCATCATAATAGTGCCTAGGGTTAGTAAGAGCTATGGTTGGACAGTGTGTGTGTGTGTGTGTGTGTGTGTGTGTGTGTGTGTGTGTGTGTGTGTGTGTGTGTAAAGAGAAACAAAGAGAGAGACAGATAATATGAGAAAGTATGAGTGTACATCTGGACATTTCACAGAAAGCACCCAAGTTATGCCACCAGGCAGAAATCTAGATGTTAATAAATATGTATAAGTGAAAGTATATCTTAGGAAAGTAGTAGTTATGGGGGAGCATGAATGTGTAGAGTATGTATATGTAAGAGATTATATGTGTTCCTGGGTAGGGTGTGCATGTGAGATAATTGTGTATGTTAGGGAGGGGAGGATTCTTTGAAACACAAAGATACACGTACACATCCCACCCAAATATTTTCAACTGTCACACAAACAATCTGTGTATACCTCTACACAAACCTACTATCCAAATACACCCATGCTTTCATCTCCTCCACACCATATGGATGTACCCAACCCACACTCTGCACAGTACTTCCCACACAAATGTGCCTTAAACACTTTCTTCATACACTCCATCCAGTTTACAGCAGTAGATTCAGTGAGCATGAGAGTATGTTTATTGGGATGAAACATGTTTATGAGATGTGGATATATCCTGAGGGTATATGAGAGAAAGTGTATAGGCACATTCAGACTGTGTGTGAGACAATGTGTGGGTACATTTGGAATAGAATGGATTTGAATGCAGATGTATTTGAATAGTGAGCAGGTCAAAGCATGAATATACTTAGGTGGCAAAGTGTATGTGTGAGAGAGAGACAGAGAAACAGACAGATAATGTGAGCAAGTATGAATGTACATCTGGACAAAATTTATGTTTGAATGTGAGTTCTCTAAATTAGGTTAGTATCTGAGTGATATATGAATGTGTGTGTCACTGTGTGCATATATTTGGCATGGGAAATTGTGGATATGTCTAGGTGGGGTGTATCTAAGTGCAGTGTTTTTGGAGGGTACATGTGTCACTTTGGGTGTATTTTGATAGTGTGCATTTGAAAGAGATTGTAGGTAAACTTAAAACAGGTATGAGGGCTCCAAGTTGGGGTGGGGCTAAGTTTAGGTGTATTTAAACACTGTATGTAAGAATGTGGGCATGCTGAGTTAGAAACTGTGTAAGTGTGACTTTAATTGGATAGAGTGACTATAAGTGTAAGCATATTTGAGGTGATTATATATGAGAATAGATGTATGTAAATGGAATGTGTGTGAAAGTGTGGGTGTATTGGTGTTGGGTATATGTGTGACAGTGGGTGTATCTGAGTGGTGTGTGTGAGAAGGAAAATGAATGTGTATATATCTGGGTTTGGGGCTTGTGAGAATGTGGGTATATCTGACTAGGATGTGTGCAGTTCTCTGGATGTATGGGAAGGAGAGAATCTAAGTGGGGAGTGTGAGAAAGAAAATATATGTTTGTGTGAAATAAGTGAATCTAGCATGTGTGAAGGTATATCTGAATAGTGTGTGTTTGCATGTATTTCAGTTGGGAAGATAACTAACATGGATTTATGTGGCTGTTTTATAAGTGCTGTATCTAGATGTTTTGTGTATTCAATAGTGTGGTTATTTATGAGTAAAGTTTGTGATTGTGACCACACATGAATATATTTTCTTGGGTGTATATATTTCTGCTAAAATGTCTGTAATGTGAATTTGTCCATAACTCGGTATGAATGACCATTTGTACCTAAGTGTGTGAGTAAATGGGAACTAACTTGTGTTTACAAGTGCTATATAGTTTTATTATATATGTGTATATATATATAATAAAATTTATGTTTGAGGTGAATATATTTGTTTTTATTTTTAATAATTTATTTAATTTTATTTTATGTACATTGGTGTGAAAGTATGAGATCCCCTGGAACTGGAGTTACATGAGCTGCCATGTGGGTGGTGGGAATTGAACCTGGGTCCTCTGGAAAAGCAGCCGATGCTCTTAACTGCTGAGCCATCTCTCCAGCCCCTGAGGTAAATATATTTCTAAACGTGAATTGAGTCTGCAAGGTATCTAAAGACAGCCTTTGGGTTAGAGTTTATTAGATGTGTAGTTTGGGGTAAATCACATAACCTCAACAAAGCCCCAGTCTCCTGTCTGTAAAATGGAAGAAATAAAACTACCTGTCTTGTAACATTAGGATAGGCTGAGTTAATATGCTAAGAGTGCTTGGAACAGTGCCTAGCACGTAATGAGCCCTCTCATGAGGAATTACTTACTAAAGGTAACAACAGTACCTTACCTGTCTGTATCACCTGTATATACCTATTACAATTATCCCTTCCTGATGGCTAACAGTGTGCATTCATCTACAAGTGTAAAGGAGGTTTTCATATGCATATTTGCCTCATAATATGTGCCCACGTGTATGTCCAAGAAAATGAACCTGGCCTCTTTTTATGTAAGAGTGTGTTTGTACATGAAAATTGTTTTACAGTTATAAAGTATCTCAGTGTTCATATAGAAACACAGATGTGTGGGGGGGAATGTGCTCAAGGCTAAGTGGAAGGGCATTAAGCCTTTTGTATATATTTGCTAGCATACACTTCTCTAGGTGCATGAGTGCACACATCCATATGTGTGATAGTGTAGCATCTGTGAGAATGCAGGTATATCTACATGTGTGAACATGATTCTGTGTACACACATGCCAGTGTATTTTTATCTGACTAGGAAACTAGGTTTGTAGTTACCAGTATGTGCATATGTGGGTGGGGTCTCTGTTCTGCCTGTAAAATTCAGAAGGCTGATATTCTTTCATATGTGATGAATGCAGTGGAAACATTTATGTGGTATGGGTTTGTGTCTATACAGCCATGTATTTGAATGTGTGCATCTGTGTTGTTCAATGAGGGTGGAATGTGTATGTGTGAATCGATGTGCAGGCATCTGAAGATTTGTGTCTGTATGTTTCTAAGCCTCAGTGGTGATGTGGGTTTGGGATGCATGAGTCTGAATTGTTTCATCTGCTTGATTGCCTCTCTGTGCTGCTGTGAGCCTGAGTAATATGCCTTCAAGTATGTCGATGCTATATGTAAATGACTGTGTACCAGGGCAGATTTGTGAAAGTGGTTTTTTTATAAAATAGTAGGTTTGGGGCCAGTAAGATGGCTCGGTGGGTAAAGGTGCCTGCCACCAAGGCAGACAACCTGAATTCAGTACCTGAGACCCACATGGTAGAAAGAGAGAACCAACTCTGAAAGTTGTTCTCTGAGTCCTGTGTATGTGCGTGGAGTACAGATGATGAACACACATAAATAAATATTCTTAAATTAAAATGTAATAGCTTCAATGTCTTAGTGTAAGAGACAGTGGGAGGCAGAGAATGTCTGGACTAAAGGACATGAGCAAAACTTGACCCCTGTCTAATATCAATTTTTATGCCTGCACATGCGGGACTGTGTCTAAAAGTGTAAGTCCATGCAGTTAAGTTTGTGTGTCCGTGCATCTCCAAGTGCCCTTTGATGTACTTTTTTTTTTTTGGCTTTTTTGAGACAGGGTTTCTCTGTGTAACAGCCCTGGCTGTCCTGGAACTTGCTCTGTAGACCAAGCTGACCTCGAACTCACAGAGATCCACCTTCCTCTTCCTCCCGAGTGCTGGGATTAAAGGCGTGCGCCACCATGTCTGGCTTCCAAGTGCCCTTTGAATGGTGACTGTGTCTCTGCCTATGCCTATGCTATCTGTGCATTTTATATCCTTCAGTGATTTGCTGTTAAATGGGTACCAGGTCACATCCCTATTTTCCTTGTGAGAAAGAGACTGATTGTATTTATCAATTGATTTAACTCTAAATATGAGCTCACGCTTGAATGTCCTGTGCCCACATATTTATCTGTGTGTGTTGAGTGTTTACATGCAGTGACTAGATGTGAGTGGTTTAGGGCATTCACATGACTCAACATACAGAGAAAGTAAAATCTGTATGGCACACTAGAGTAAAGTAAAGTATTTAGAGGTACAGGAGCTTGATGAAAAGAAATTCCTTACTTTTTCTTCATCTTATACAATTATAAAGAAAAACTGCAAAGTTTTAGCAGATTTATTAAATATTGAATTTGTATACAGCTTTCAAATAAAATCTTTTTGCAGATTATTTCATGACACACTAGAGTGCAGAACATCTTTTTTACCTCCCTCCCTTACTTTCTTTCTCTCTTTCTTTTTCTGAAACAGGGTCTTGCTGGCCTAGAGCTCATTGTATAGCCCAGGCTGGCTTCAAACTTGCAGTTTCCTAGCAGAGCACGATGGCACACACCTTTAATCCCAGCACTTGAGAGGCAGAGGCAGTTGGAGCTCTGTACATTTGAGATCTGCCTGGTCTACATAGTGAGCTTCAGGACAGCCAGAACCACATAGTGAGACCCTGTCTCAAAAAAGAAAAAAAAAAAAACTTGCTTCTTCCTCCCAAATGTTGTGTTTACAGGCATGCACCACACCCAGCTCACAGTATCAAAACATTTTTGAGACAGTGTCTCATGATTTCACCTTGGTCAGCCTGGAGCTAACTATGTAGACCAGGCTGGCCTGGAACTCACAGAGTTCCACTTACCTCAGCCTCCTGGTGCTGGGATCAAAGGTGTGTGCCACCATACTCAGCTCAGAGTATAATTTTTTTTATTCACTGATGGGAGTCCCTAGTGGTCAGCATCTGTGGCCACTCTTTTTGAGCCTTTGGTCATTACTACCATGGCTTGTTGTATTGTTGTTTTATTCTTTTTTTTTTTTTTTGCTCATTTTTATCTGGATTTGGTAAATCTATTGGTGCTACCTCAGATAATTGTATTTCTTGGTGAAAGCTCCAAACAACAACAACGAAAAAAAAAGGATTAAGTAACTGCATATAATTTTGGCACATATAAACTTCTATCATGGCTTGCTACTTCTTAATCTTAGAAGCCGTGTATAAGGTAACCAGGGAGGTGGCTCAGGCACATCTTTGCTCTAATTTCCTTCATAATTCACTTGAATGTATGAAACACGGCTGTATGAATCTGCAAGTCAACAAACCTACTTTAAAAAAAAAAGCAAAAACAAAAACAAAAAAAGCCACTTGCCATGCCAGCGTGAAGGCCTGAGTTCAGATACCAGGAGCCTCCTTGAAGCCAGACACAGCAGTGTGCTTATTTAATCCCAGTGCACCTACAGGAGATGGGAAGTGGAGACCGGAGAACTCCACACACGTTTTGGGGCCAGCTAGCGTGGCACAGACAACAACAAACAATAAAGACCCCATCTCAAACAAAGTGGAAAGCAAGGATTGACACACAAGATTGTCCTCTAACCACCACACATGTGTGCCCACACACACGTACCATACACACGCACATAAAATTCTTGTAACAAGTAGTCGTGAATTTTGAATCTAACAGATAATTTTCATTTTGAGTATCTCAAAATTATGAAGAAACTTTACTTCTAAGTAGACATAGATTTGGCTCTATACCTATTCTATCATTCAAATTGCGACACCAAGTAGACATCACTCCAGGAGCCATACTTAACCTCCATTTTCCTTATTTGGCTCTATACCTATTCTATCATTCAAATTGCGACACCAAGTAGACATCACTCCAGGAGCCATACTTAACCTCCATTTTCCTTATTTGGAGTTTTACTTTGAATCTGTAAGCCATGTCAGTGCTGTCTACTTTGATATACAGTATTTTGAGTGAATGCAATGCATTGCAGTGCTGGGCACGTAGCTAAGCTGGCATGGTGCTCACCTATCATGCACAAAGTCTTGAGTTCAACCCCCAGCAGCCCGTAAACCAGGTGTAGTAGTACATGCCTATAATCCCAACAATGGAGAAGTGGAGATGAGAGGTTCAGAAGCTCAAGGCTATCCTCAGTCACATAGAGAGCTCAAGACCAAGCTGGGCTATACAACAGCCTGTTGCACAAAAGAAAAAAGAAATGCAGATAGCTATGGGTTTTTTTAATGTAATTCTATTCTCATATGTTCAAAGAGGGATATGCTGAAGCCAGTAAATATCAAATCTGCAAAGTGAGAAACACACACAAAGAAGTAACTGGGTGCTGCTTAACATGTGGCAGGGGTGGTGCACACATGCCACTCAGCACATACGGAAGTCACAGGACCACTCGTAGGAGTGCATGAACCCAGGTCTTCAGGCTTGAGAGCAAGTACCTTTGCCTTCTGAGCCATCTTACCACTCATTATAATACTTTTTACAAAATTCCTACACACTTAGATTTAAAAGGTATGTATGATTTCAGTTCTTCACACAAAACTAATAGATACATGGGAACAGCCTTAGACTTAGTTAAATTCATTATTTAGTGTGTTAGTTCATCGTGTACTGCGGAAATCAGACTTAGCAAGTTTTACAGGTGAATTTGGTATTATCAAAGCAGACTTGTCATCACAATTTGGTATTATCAAAGCAGACTTGTCATCACAATAGCATCCAGGCTGGTCTACTTATCAAGCTCCAGGCAGGTCAAGGCTACATAATGGGACTCTGTCTCTAAACAAAACAAAATAACAGTAGCATCGATCCATAGGCCTATGTAATTTCCATAATACTTCAAAATATTCATGGATAAATTTGCACATATTAACCTTAGTTTATTTTTGTACGAATTGCATTTCTCTTCAGGGTCTTTGGTTACTCCTGCAGTCTAAGCATAGACAAAAACACATCCATAAATCCATATATAGTGACACTCCTTTCAGTTCAACAGTTTTTTAGGCTAGTGTCATCTCTGACCTGTTACCAGTGTGTCCCATTACTAATAGCAGTAATTGAAACTGTCCCTTTGCCTATTTCCTTTACCTCATCCGTCCTAAACACATTGTGGACAATTTCCTTGTAGAATGCTAGCATAGAAGATTTTGCTTAGCTTTTCTTGTTAGCCTCACAACACTGTCACTAGCTGACTGAGCTCTGTATACGAATAGTCTAACCATCTCATAAAGGATCTTGGTTTCTTTTCTTTTTGTTGTTGTTT